TGCTGAAACTGACCAGCGCTGACTACAGGAAGCCCGAGGCAGAGTTGCTCTGCCCCCGGCTTCCTGGAATCAGCCGCTGATCAGTTTCAGCAGCAGCTGACTTGGGGACGCCTGGGGTTTTTAAGTTGATTCTGTATGTAAGTCGGAACTGGCGGTCAGTTTCAGCAGCGGCTGAATCTGGACGCCAATTCCAACTTACATACAGATTCAACTTAAGAACAAACCTACAGTCCCTATCTTGTACGTAACCCGGGGACTGCCTGTAATAATATTCTGTATTATCATCAAGCCCCAAGAACCCATTGTGTTAGCTGTTGTACAGTCTAGGGATGTTAAGTTGCAATTAATCAGCTAATTGAGCAGTCGATGGAATTTCCATCAACTAATGGGGCGCTCGCTACCCCTGCTGCAGCTCTGCAGTTTGAATGTGCCTGGCTCCAACTACATTTAAACTGCAGAGCCACAGCAGGGTTAGCTCTGGGAGGTGGTGTGAGCGAGCCAGCCCCAGGAACTAACTCCACTGCACCTCTGCAGTTTAAATGTAGTAAGAGCTGCCAGGTTAAAAGCCAGTTCCCTCCAGCACTGTCTGAAGCAGTCCCCACTCGCGCCAGATACCCGACTGCTGTGGCTCTGCCTTTTAAATGTAGTAAGAGCCAGCCAGCTCTTACTACATTTAAAAGGCAGAGCAACAGCGCCACTGTGCCTCTGCCTTCCCTGCCCCCACCCCACCGCGAAGACACTGCTGGAGAAACCGGCTTTTAAGCCAGCTCCTTATTTCCTTCCCCTACCTTGCTGCCTCTAATATAGAGGCAGCAAGGGCAGGATGCGAGTAGTCCTATCAGGGGGATGGGGGAGGGAAAATGCGATAGGCTTATTGGGTAGCTGACCATTGGACTACTCTTTTACATCCTCAGTACAGACACACCAAAAAGATAGTTCTTGCCCTCAAAGATCTTCCAGTCGAAGTATAACACAAGAAACAACAGGAGGCTAGCACAAGAAATCAACGAGGGCTGGTCTACATTACCACGGTAAATCAAAGCCATGTATATAACTAGAACAGCATAACTACGTAACTGAAGTCAACGTAACTATATCCATTATCACAGTGCTTACACGGCTCTGTGTCAAAGGGAGATGCTCTCCTGCCAATATAGCACCTCTTCACCAGACCAGCTAAATCGATGCTGCTGCATTGAGCGCAGCAGCACCAACTCTGCGCAGTAGTGAAGACCTCTCCTGTGACAACATTCGTCAACAAAACAGACAGTGGTGCCAACATACCAATGCTCTAAATATTGCCAAGTTTTGGGTAGGTATGGTGGCAAAGGGAAGATAAGGAGCGATTTGCAGGACAAAGAATAAGCGTGGCAGATGTTTATGGGAAGCTCCTCCCTAGAAGGAGGGAGGGACAGTGTGAGAGAAAACACAAAGGTGCTTGAATTTTCAAACAAGTGCATGATGTGACTGGCATTAAGGGCCAATCGAAGTTGAGAATTCAATAGTGAATGAGAGACGATAGGTTAGGTTGGGATTAGGGATGTTTGAGTATAACCGATTAACCATCTAACCAATAAGCTGATGTTTATCGGTCAATGGTATCGGTTACAATCTCGGAGAGGTGACTTTGTTGCGTCAGGGCAGTAATCCTCCTTCCCAGGAGTCGGGCCGGCAGAGGCTGGCAGCCCCGCTGCTGAGGAGACTTTGCTGTGGGCTCTGAAATATAAAAGTTAAGCTTGATACCGCCGAGCTCACTGCACGTGTAACTGCTAAGGTTTTCAGTGGCTACATGGTTACCCTCTTACACAATTTTTAACATCCCTAGGTGGGATAAGCTGGGAAGGGCCTTGAAAGTGAATACAAGTAGCTTATGTTTGTGGTAATAGAGGGGGAAGCCAGTGGAGGACTTAAAAAAGACGGCTGACACAGTCAAAGCGATAGAATAAGAAAGCTACTTTTGCAGCAGCTTTCTTAATTGACACGAGTGGAGCAAGACAGCATTTTTCAAGGCCAGAGAAAATTGTATAAAATGCGTGTTTACCTGATGTCCTGATCTCCTCTGACTGTTTCAGATTCAGCTGTTTCTCTCTGCTACTATTTAAAAACTTCCATGCTGGATCAGTCACAGCTTTGTTATTGCTACAGAGAAACAAAAGCTGAAGTCAGAGCAGTTATATGAAGCACAGGGTTTTTTTCTGGTTAATGTTACACTTTTAAATGTCCTTAGATATTTAATTCACATTGTCCTTTGTTAGAATAAAGCTTGAAATATGTAAATCTCATCAGCAAAAAAGTTTAGGTAACTGATTCATTAAATAGACCCTCTCATTATCATGTCAACACATAGCTGACATATCTCTGCTGAATTAAATACCAATCCCATTTGTGCTTTGACCTCTTACTAGTCAAAGTTCAAATCCAGCAAGACTATACTTCTTGCAAAACAAGGGCAAACTGCCACCAATAACCAAAGATCCCAGATATGTATTTAGCATCCAATACCATTACAGATGTGTTCAGTTAGTGCTAACTCACAAGGCAAACACTTTGTCAGAAGATAATATACAATCACAGAATTAGCACACCACTACAGGGCACAGGACTGTATTTCACTACCTAGTCCCAAATCCTTTCCAAACATATATTATGGTATTATTTTGACAGAAAAAGATCAGACTATTCTTTTCAATCAGAGTTTCATATTTTAAAAGTAGTTAGACAAATGCAGGAGGAATTTACATAAGAAACTAGAAAGAATCAGCAGTAACTTACGTTGAAGAATCATTCTCTTTGGGATAATCTTCATTCATCTCTGAACTGGAGGGCTGTGTTCTTTTCCTCTTTTCACTAAAAAAAAAGCACAAGAATAAATCATTCTGGAATCATTAATTCAAAAGGACATATATAAACCTCTTCCTTCACCATAGACATTATATATGCTCTCTGTATTTCTCACCATTCACAATTTTCAAGTTTATAATATAAAATACAGCAAAGAATGTTGCATACATAGCAATTTTATTAGGTTGTTCCCAGAGCCCTTAGACCAGTCATGAGTTGGAAATGCAGTTAACACTGTTTTCAAAGCAATATAAAAAAAATTAAAAAACGAACCAAAAGGGGTTGTATGAATTTGTAGGTAAAGTAAATTGCTATTAAGATTACATATTTGTAGCGCTAAATTTTAATGACAGCATATTAAAGGAACTTTATTTCATACCGGTTTTCCAGTAAGCCTGTTCTGTGAGGAGTTGATGAAGTGGGAGACACTGAAATGTTAACCCTGTTGCTAGATGTTCCACTTCCTGGGGAAGTCTTAACAGATGCTCTACTTGGGCTGCCCAGCACCTTTCGAAATGGATTGTCTTCCTTTCCCTCCACAGTCACTCGTTTTGAAGGAACCTGCAAAATGCAACAGGGGAAATCCTCAATAATCAAAAATTAAAATTACTTTACAGTTATTCTAAAGCGGCATTGGCACGTCCCTCCCACAAATGCAATATCTGAAAACAGGGAAATGCAAAGAGGACAATATTTTAATGCTACTCAGGTGGAGTAAAGTTGGCATATGTGAAAAGCCATTATAAAACCACTAAATTGTGGACATGCATGAACAGAGTATCCATGCAAACTTTATCCTTCTTCCGTTCCCACACTATTAGTGCCATTTATGCTGTCTACAGCACAATAAATTCTTTCAGATACAGACCATGACTTAGGTTTTCAGAGATGAGCACTGCACATCTCTGAGTGCCATAAAATAAGGTGCTATAATAGTAAGACATGTTTTAAGAGCAGTATCCTGTAGTTTTTGACCAAACAAAAACAAAAATAATTTAAGATCATGGAAAGATCAATAGCTGGGTAATTCTAAGGAATATGGGTAGGTTTCAGGCTTGGGGACTAACCAGCAGGGTTAAACCACATCAGTGGTTACCACATACCACACAGTTTTTATTTTACAACTTTTTAAGCAGCACTGAAAATTTGATGGAAATAATTTTAAAACAACTTCAGTTTGGGGTTGGATTAAAAGGACTGACTTGGTTCATTCACAGAGTTGTTATATAACCTTTGACTACAGAGCGAAACTTACAATGACTGACCAAGGTCCCTTGGCAAAGGATCCTCTGTTCTTTGCAAACAACTCTTATCTCAGACCTGACAATCCCACTATACCAAACACATCTTACAGGATATTCATCCATAAAGAGTTACATGTAAGATACAGAAAGCTCAGAACATGTCAAAATTCATAATCATTGAGAGATTATGAGAACGTGTATTGGTAGTATTTAAGGAATAGTGTATTTACACTAAAAGTATGCTTTATATAGGCTTGGGCGTTATTTTCTACTGACTAATTTCTCCTCCAAGCTATGGCCCACTTGGATGGGGGGAAATGTCACCCTGTCCTGTTTGAGCAATGCAACGCTCACATTCTTTAGACATGCACAATACTAAATCTTAGAAGAGAAAACCATCTAAGGCAACAATCAAACCCACTTCTAGAGAGCACCACACAATAAGACGGGGGGGGAGGGGCATCTGTGACTAGAAACAAGTGGCTATTTGTATTATAACAGGAGGAGGAGAAGCACTCTGTATCCATTCTCTGAGGAAACCCCTTGTGGAACAGGGGTGTTTTCAGGACCATTGGGACCCTGATTCTTGAGAAACCAGGCAACTCCGCAACAGGCTGTATTTTGGTAGCAGGGGGAGGAAGAGACTCTACCTCATTAGACAGGAAAGATGACCATTGATAAATGCAAACCCAGGGTTGTGTTTTATGGATTTTGTTCTGTATTGGAAATAAAAAGGGTATACCACACTATTTCTATTACATTTTCATTTTTTTCTTAAATAAACCTACTTTTGTTTTATTGCAAGTGCTCACAAGTAATTTTGGTTTATAGGAGTGGGAGTTTAAGGTAAAACTGGAGTACACTGTACCTTTCAGTGCAGACGATCTGGAATTTCTGTGAGCAATCACTGTGTAGGGATGTTAGATGTTGTTTAATAATTATGTAACCACACCAAATCTTAGCGTTTACCCAATTATTCATTAGTCCCCGGAAGGAGGCGGGGGGGAGGGAGGAAAGGTCGGCGCCAGCAGCCAATGCACTCCCAGGCAGCCCCCTGCCACCCAACGCTGCTACCTTTATACCATTTAAAAACCAGCTCCCCGCACAGACCGGCTCCCACCTGCTGCTGCTTCTGTGTCAGAGGCAGCAGCGCATGGTGGCAGCAGCCCCTGTCCACAGGGGTTGGCGCCCAAGCTTCCTGCAGATAGAGCCTGCACCAGCATCCCTGCAGATAGAGCCTGCACCAGCCTCTGTCTTGCCTGCCCCCATCCCTACCGTGTTGCTGTCTCTGATAGAGGCAGCCGCATTAGGGGGAGGCAGCTCCACGAAGCCAGTGCTTGGGAGGAGCCAGCTTTTAAAAAAGTTTGACAAGATTTTTATATATAAAATGTCACTTGCAGTCAAATCTGCCAATTACCAAACACATCAGCTTTGCGTTTTCATTGTATCTATCGTATCCAACTTCTTTTTGGTATTTCAGCAGAAAAACGTACAGAAACATTTGGAACTAAGCTGGATGCAGATCCGTAAGTATGTGTTTTACTCCTTTATTACACTGCTCCAGCAACGTGACTTGCCTATCTAATAATGGGATAATGCACTTTTCAAGAGCCAGTCAATGACATTCCTTGATCATGCAGAAGATTTTGCTTAAGAATGGAATGCACTTTTCTCCCATTACCCCACTAAGGTCTCAACTAATGGCACGTCTGTCTGTCCAAACCTGTCCTGATTCAGAAGGCTTGAGACACTGGAATCAACTATTGTGCTACAACAATGTGTGTCACACGCAAAATGAGGGCAGAGGGAAGAGAGGAAGTGATTAAAAGGAATTTGAAGGGAAAAGCAAAGATCTGAAGTGTAAACGAACTGTTTAACAAACCTGATTTTCTATATACTGAAACTGCCTGGTGTTAGCTTCCTTCTGAGTTGTCCTGCTGCCCAGAACACCTCCAAAGCTGCCAGATCCCTGAGATGGTTTCACAGCTGATAACAAATGCACATGTCATTTAATCTACTTGTTATTGTATTTACCCTCGCTTTGTCACAAATCATTTAAGATTAGATTTTCAAAACACTCACCAGATGTACATGTAAAAAGCAGAATCAATACATGGCAGGTAATACAATATCAGGAGTACATGGGTTTAAAAAGCAAAGGTTTATAGATTTTCCTCATACTGTTTGTATACTTAATGTGCACCAAACCCAAGCGTTCAAAGAAAGGAGAGGAAACTGTGCATGTCTTTGAAAATGGTAAACATTTGGTAATCATTTTTCAAATACTAGCATACTTTTAAAATTAAATACCATGCATGCCAACATTGCAAGAAAGTTACATAAACATTAAAATGAAGCTGAATTCAATGGCCCAAAGAAAATTAAAACAAAATCAGTGCAAGGCATAAACAACTTTTAATAAACAGAAGACAAAATTCAGTGCGAGGCATAAACAACTTTTAATAAACAGAAGACAAAATAAAGGTGAACACACACAAACTAATTCAGAATCTTATCTTTATCCAACCTGCTGTTACCAAAATTCATTCTTTGCACTTACTCGTATGAACTCTGTCCTGGAGGACTGCATCCAGATACATCCTCATTTCGTTTGCATCCTTAGAGGGTACTTTATCAATAGTCAGGAAGCTGGCATCTTTTAGAGTTAGCATCAAGCAACATAATTTTCCACCATTTGGTCGAAGGACCACAGTTTTAATGTTATGGCTTAGCTGGAAAGAAAGTAAAGGTGACTATAACAGAGATCATTGTAAGAAATTATTAAGTACTTCCACAAAAAACTCAAAAACCAACTATGTTGTCCAAGAGTTACAAAGAAAAAAACATATTTAAATACAAATATTTAATACAAATACAAACCCTCCTTCTCCTCGAGTCATAACTAAAACTCATGTTAATCTGGTTAATGAATTTTAAAAATGCTGCTCAGAAAAGACAGCACTAACACTATCACTGACAAACCCCTATTTTCAAGTGTTTACAGTATTCTGAAACTTCCTTTGCTGGATTCATATTTCTTGTTTCTCTCAGTGCTCAGTAAAATTTCATTTAGCTGCTACAAATATAAAAATTAAAGAAACTTTTAATCAATTAAGAATATTTTTTCAGCTTTTCCTCAGTTTTTTAATAATTCAAGACTTACAAATTTTCATATAGTTAGCCCTCGAAGTACAAAATTCTTGACAAGTTGTAAAAAAAGTGCTTGGTAACCAGTGAGTACCAAAAGATTGCTGTATATTCCATATAAATTTGACTTTGTTTCATTATATATCCATCTGTTTATGCAAGAACTCCTCCTAAATGGTAACAGCTAGGGCCACCAAATTAGCTAGGCAGCTTACTCTTAGCCTACCTTACGACAAGGTCAGCGTTTGGTTGTGCTGGGAACATAAGTGGCGGGGATGTTCCCCCCCCCCCCCGCCCGTGGGAAGGGAAGAGACACGATCCTCACACTGACTACTGGGGGCAGCAAGTAGGGATGGGATACTGCAGAGTGAGTACTGGGGGCAGCCACAGCAGCACAGGACTGATGGGCTGGAGATGGGGCTTTGGTGTTGCAGTCCAGGTCACTTTCTACAGGTAAGGTTCCCTCCCCGCACCTATAGGGCCTGGTCTTTCTCCCTTTCCCCCCGCTACAGGGCCTGGAGTTTCCTCCTCACCTTCAGGGGTCTGCACACTCCCCCCTCCCCTCCTCCTCATGCCCATGTGATTTCCCCTCCCCCCCATCTGAGGGTCCTATGGGGTCTAGTGATTCTCCACCCCTGGCCACTTCACCTAGAGAGTGGAGATTCCCTCCTCCTCCTCACGCAGCGCAGGGCTCCTCTCTGGGCCTAGGGGTACCCTCCTCTCTCCTTCCCACATGGCTCCTCACAGGATCAGGATGTGGCCTCTCTCTGCACCTCCTTTTAGTTCCCAACAAAACCCAATAAACCATTCCTGGAGTTACACACCTGAGCACCACCGGGTAAACCTGCTAGTTTTAAATAAATTTTAAAAGTACTAGTGCAGCAAAAGTCAAATACAATGGTAACATTAAAAAAAAAAAGTACCTCTCCCTAATTAATCCACATTAAGGATGTTAAGAGGCAGGTAACTGGCTAAACATGTTGTCGACAGAATTTGTATCGACTACACAATTACTCAATAGGGGAAGGCGCTCAGTCCTGGCTTGAGCTGGGTCTGGGAGCTATTTCTGCTGCGGCGCTGCAGTTTAAATGTAGTAAGAGCTCGGCCACTGTAGACAGGGGCTACTGGTGAAGCAGCCTCTGTTCATAGCCAGCCTCTGTCCACAGCCAGCCCCGGGCTTGCTGCAAACAGACTGCTCTGGCAGCAGCTTAGGTTTACTGGGTAGTCAACTACTCACTCACATCCACATATCCCTTCTCACTTTCTGCTAAGTTAGCTACAAGAAATCACCTGACCAATACCTGTACATAGAGAAAAATGTTTTTAAACAGATGAATCACAGTTCTTGGTATCCTAAGAAACCAAGTTTTACAGAGCATCATTATAAAGTTTCTAGTGTAGACATAATGCACTTCAGTCCATGATTTGAGTTTTTCATTTGGAGAAACTGACGGGGTGGGGGTAAATGCAAGTAGTCGACTCCACTATCCGATAAGCTTAGGTTTACTGGGTAGTCAACTACTCACTCACATCCACATATCCCTTCTCACTTTCTGCTAAGTTAGCTACAAGAAATCACCTGACCAATACCTGTACATAGAGAAAAATGTTTTTAAACAGATGAATCACAGTTCTTGGTATCCTAAGAAACCAAGTTTTACAGAGCATCATTATAAAGTTTCTAGTGTAGACATAATGCACTTCAGTCCATGATTTGAGTTTTTCATTTGGAGAAATTGACGTCACCATATTTAGAACTGTCATACTGGGTCAGACCAAAGGTCCATCAGCCCAGTGCCCTGTCCGTCAACAGTGGCTAATACCGAGTGCCCCCAGAGAGAATGAACAGAACAGGGAATCATCAAGCGATCCCTCCCCTGTCACCCATTCCCAGCTTCTGACAAATCGAGGCTAGGGACACCATTCCTACCCATCCTGGCTAATAGCCATTGATGGATCTAACCTCCATGAATTTATCTAGCTCTTTTTTAAACTCTGTTAAAGTCCTGGTCTTCACAACATCCTCTGGCAAGGAGTTCCGCAGGTTCGCTGTGCGCGGTGTGAAGAAATACTTCTTTTGGTTTGTTTTAAACCTGCTACCTATTAGTTTCATTTGGTGACCCCTAGTTCTTGTGTTACGGGAACAAGTCAGTAACTTTTCCTTATTCACTTTCTCCACACCAGTCATGATTTTATAGACCTCCATCATACTCCCCTTTTAATCCCCTCTTTTCTAAGATGAAAAATCTCTGTCTTTTTCATCTCTCTTCATATGGCAGCTGCTCCAAACCTCAACCATTTTTGTTGCCCTTTTCTGAACTTTTTCCAATGCCAATATATTTTTTTTAGATGAGGCAACCACATTTGTACGCAGCATTCAAGACGTGGGCATACCATGGATTTATACAGAGGCAATAAGATGTTCTCTGTCTTATTCTCTATTTTTTTTTAATTATTCCCAACATTCTGTTTGCTTTTTTGACTGCTGCTGCACGTTGAGTGGATATTTTCAGAGAACTATCCACAATGACTCTACAATCTCTCTGGAGTCGTAACAGCTAATATAGTCCCCATCATTTTGTATGTGTAGTTGGGATTATGTTTTCCAATATGCATTACTTTGCATTTATCAACATTAAAATTAATTTGCCTTTTGCTGCCCAATCTCCTAGTTTTGTGAAATCCTTTTGAAGCTCTTCACAGTCTGCTTTGGTCTTAACTATTTTGAGCAGTTTAGTATCATCTACAAATGTTGCCCCCTCACTGTTTGCCCCTTTTTCCAGATCATTTATGAATATGTTGAATAGGACTGGCCCCAGTACAGACCCCTGTGGGACCCCACTAGTTAACTCACTCCATTCTGAAAACTGTCCATTATTCCTATCCTTTTTTTCCTATCTTTTAACCAGTTATCAAGCCCTGAGAGAACCTCCCCTCTTATCCCATGACAAGTTACTTAAGAACCTTTGGTGAGGGACCTTGTCAAAGGCTTCCTGGAACTCTAAGTACACTGTGCTCACTGGATCCCCCTTGTCCACATGCATCAGTACATGCATCTGACAAAGTGAGTCTTTGCCCATGAAAGCTTATGATCCAATAAATCTGTTAGTCTATAAGGTGCCACAGGACGTGTTGTTGTTTATGCAGATTCAGATTAACATGGCTACCCTTCTGATACTTGTCCACATGCTTGTTGGTGCCCACAAAGAACTCTAGTAGATTAGTAAGGCATGATTTCCCTTTACAGAAACCATGTTGACTTTTCCCAACAAACTATGTTCATCTATGTGTCTGACAATTCTATTCTTTACTATTGGTTAAACTAAGTTGCCTGGTACTGACATCAGACTTATTTTATACCCAATACTTGCTTTTTTGGTTAACTAAATATTTTCAGTACAGGAAGAATTTAAGGATGGCCTTCAAATCTTCCACTCTCCCCTAAAATAAGTACAGCAGAGAAGAATTTCAACCACATCACCATTCAAGGTCAAACCTATTACAACACACAAAAAACTCTTATGACTTAACAGCATTCATCATCATCCATACTCTCCAGCCACCAGTTGTGACTCGTTTAAACTATATTATAAAGTCTCTTTGGGACAAAGATAATCTTTTACTTTATATCTGCATCTAGCACTATGGGGCCCCAACCTGACTGTGGCTTCTAGACACCACTAACAAATAAAAAAGTAATTTTGACAAGTATGAAGAGCTGCCAGTTACTGAAGCAAGAGAAAGATTTAGTTCAATTTGCCTCTATAACATGACAGTAGCATCTCCCAAATCTACAGATGAAGAGGTTTCTGATTAATCTGAACCGGAAGACAGAAAAAAGGCCTAAAACTCCTCCTAATGTTTCCTGTCCCAAAATATGAATATCATCAAGTGCACACATTTTACTTATCGCCTTATAGTTGGTATGAACCTTATTTTTCTGACAGCAAGAGCTATCAAAGCTCCAAAAGGAAGTGGTGAAAATCAAGTTTCTTGGCACACTAATAACCTAGACTGGACAGAAGTGTAGTTGATGTACAACAGTGAAGAGTTTTGCACCTGGACTAAGGGTACATTTACACTGGAAATGTTCAGCACTTCCACTGGAAAAAGTACTAGTGTAGTAGAAAAGGCATACGTGACCTAATAAATCGCCACACAGATGGTCTGAAAGTTTGTCAAATAAGCAAAAAGAGTTTAAAAAAGCGAATACAAAATAACAAGATACTATATAGTGTTTGGTTCATTTTACTTTCACGTCTTAAGCATTTTCATTTCTTCCCAATAATTGGTTTGTCCACTCCTGCCTTGGCATTCTACCCAATGATACACCTGAATACTGTAAAGTATGTTTATACAAAAGGATTAGTGTTCTAGAAATGAAAACCAAGAAACAGTAACAGAGGGAAGTCTGTGAGATACTTAGTAGTCTTTGAGATGAAAGCTGTTCACAAAAGGGAACAATCCATGCATTGCTCATATAAAACACCTTGATATCTGAAGTACCTGAAATGTCTTTGGAATTCCTCCAACATTGTAGTGAACGACTAAACTCACTTTGTTATCCTTCTCCACAATTTCAAAGCTTCCTTCTTTCCATTTTGTAATCCCAGTTTGCATGCTGCGCATCCGTACAGGTCCATGCACCTTCAGTGGAGCCATTTTTCTTGCAGATAAATAACTTAAAACAGTTGAACTAAATTTACTTCACTTTGAATCCTGTTAAAAATAAGAAAAATTAAAATTGGCAACTAGCAAATAAAAGTATCTGCATAAAGTGTAAAAATCAGGAACAGCATTTTTTGCAGGAGTCTAGAAAAAATAGAATACAGTAAATGAAATATGTATTAGGAAATCTTCCAGAATTTGGCCAGCATTACTTTAAGCCAGTGGTCTCCAGATTCTTCGGGGTTCATGCTCCTTACCCAGACTGGGGGCAAAACTGTGGCTAAGGGGAGGAAATGTAGACAAAAGTAAGGAACCTGAGGCTGTGGTCACAGTTGGAGGCCAGACTCAGGGGCATGAGTAGAGCTGAGGCCTTGATGTGGGGAATGCCTCGCACCTTGGGGAACTCTGTTTTAATCCCTAAATATTTAACACTGAGTGAGATGACTCAGTACAAACAGTGAAAGATCTTGCAAGTCTAAGAATGACATTTACAGAGTTACCAAAACAAATTGATCTTGAGCTAAGAGCAAGCAGGGAAAGATGAGGGGGAAAAGACAACAAATTTTCCAAGAAACCATTTGGTTTCCAAAATTGGACAATAAAACCTCTAATGAGAAACTGACTTTTTATAATAAAGTTTATTCTTTGTATTTACAAGTTTTACTTATTGTCACCTCAACGTCACCTGTTTCTCTCTCTCAGCCACCTGTTGCATCTTGTCATTGATCTAGATTATCATCTTTTGGTTATAGATTGTGTTTTGATATTGGTACAGCACTTTGTACAACGAGACTCCAACTTGACTGAGGCTGCTAAGCAACGTTAAGACAAATTACTAAAATAATGCGACAAATTACTCTTTAAATAATCCACATTTTGATAGGAACTGTCTGATAAAAACCAGCGAAGGAAGGAAGCTTTTCATAGGAACACACACACACAGCCCTTTTCTATTTAACTTCTGAGGGAGATGCAGTTCAATACAAGCTAGGGACACGCAAGCGACAATCACCAGGCAGCAGGGCTCGCAATGGTGCAAGTGCGAAGGGCGTTTCTTTCGGGGCAGTGAGCGGGTGCACGGCAGAGTCCGGGGAAGGGGAGGCCGTTCCAGCC